TAAGGATGTGTTGAATATGAGTTCCTTGTACACATTATATTACTCATTATTACTCCCATATATGACCTACTGTGTGGAAATATGGGGTAACGCCTGTAAATCAAACACACTCCCTGTCTTAAAACTACAGAAAAAAGCAATCAGAATAATCAATTGGTCTAAATATATCGAACCCACAAATCCACTATTCATCAAATTAAACACAATGAAATTCTATGAGCAGGTTGACTTCAAAATCGCCCAATTAATGTATAAAGCACATAACAATCTCCTTTACCAAAATATCCAGAAGCTTTTTGAAATTAGAGATAGTTGTTGTAATCTAAGAGGAATGAATCAATCAGTAATAGGAGTCAATCTGTGGAATAAGCTTGAGACGGATCTGAAAATGAGTAAATCGCTGGACGAGTTCAAAAACAAATTTAAACGATTAGTACAAAAAAACTACATAAATCAAAGTTAAGAAGATAAATTTTACATACCGGAATACTTATAAAATATAGTAATACAACGGATTGTTCTTGTTTTGGATTTTTTCACAACTTATTGAATGTATTCAAGAAATGCAGTATTTATAATGAATATTAGACATTTGATATAAAAAGTAGAAAGAACAATTTTGTATGAATATGTATTTTTTTTTTTTTTTTTTTTTAAATATAAAAACAAAAAAAATCCTCGTCTCACCCCTCGGGTGGTGTCCATCCCCCATTCATCTCGGTTCCTCTACCAGAGGCCAGGAAGCTTGAGGGTTCTGCGCAGTATCCTTGCTGTTCCCAGCACTGCACATTTCTGGACTGAGATGTCCGATGTTGTTCCCGGGATCTGTTGCAACCACTCATCTCGTTTGGGGGTCACTGCCCCGAGTGCTCCGACCACCACAGGCACGACTGTCACCTTTACCTTCCGGGCTCTCTCCAGCTCCTCTCTGAGCCCTTGGTATTTCTCGAGTTTCTCGTGTTCCTTCTTTCTGATTTATATATATATAAACCGAAAGGTGTATAAATAGATAAGTACAGTACACATAAGGGTAAAAGTATGAAAGTATTTGATGATATGTAAATTTCTTCCTTTTCTTTGGTATTGAAAAATGATCAATACACATTATTACACAACAAGGGGTAGGACTAGATAAGTTGTATACTTCTTCCTACTCCTTTGAGTATATAACTGTGATGATGTTTGTTTTACTGACTTTTATTTTTTCCTTTTATGACTTTTGTTTGCATTTTGTCAATCTGTTATTGTATATTCTATATATGTTCAAGAAACAATACAATAACAATAACAAGTTGGTCAACCCTGTCGAAAAATGAATTCCAGGCTTACTTGGGGCTGCTAATCTTGGCTGGGGTCCATCGCTCCCACAATGAGGCGACAGCGAGCCTCTGGGACACGAAAATGGGGCGTCCGAGGTTTGCTCAAACCGTGACTCACGGCCGGTTTTGTCATATAAACCGCGCCGTGCGTTTTGATGACAAATTGTACAGGCCTCGGCGTCACCATAACAACAAATTGTCACCAATTGCCGAGCTGTGGGGCAAATGGAGCAACCTGCTCCAAAAACGTTTCAACCTGGGGAGGGATGTTTGCGTAGATGAGCAGCTGGTCGCCTTTAGGGGCCGCTGCTCCTTCAAGCAATACATCCCCTCCAAGCCGGGAAAATATGGGCGCTGTGCGATGTTGACACGTCGTACGCCTGGAAGCTGGAGGTGTATCTTGGAAAGCCTCCAGGAGGAGAGCGCGCAAAAAAAGTTGGCATGCACACCGTCCTAAGACTGTACGACTCTATAGAGGGGCACACCATCACGATGGATACTTTTTTTTGTTCAGTCCCACTAGCTCTTGAGCTGCTGAAAAAAAAATGCACTAGTTGGGACAATTCGAAAAAACTAGAAAGAGCTCCCTCTGCAACTCCTCCAGTTTCATCACCGACAAGTCAAGTCCAGCATGTTTGCCTTTACCAAAACCATGGCACTGGTCTCCTACGTCCCCAAGAAGGGGAAGAATGTTGTGCTCCTCAGCACAAAACACCGGGAACCACAGCTGGAGGAGGGTCCACAAAAGAAACCGAACATCATCTTGGCGTACAACAAGAGCAAAGGCGCAGTGGATCACCTGGACCAAGTAAGCACAAGTTTTGTCTGGGATAGTCTAGCATGTGTTCTATAAAGCTGTCTTGTCATCTGATGTTTTGTTTTGTTTTGTTTTGCAGGCCTGCTCCGCCTACACTACCCAGAGGCGAACCCCAAGGTGGCCTATGTGCCTCTTTTATCACATATTGGACATTTCGTTGTTCAATGCTTTTGTTTTATTTGTTGCCATCAATCCAAAATGGAATGAAAAAAACTATTTAAAAGGAGGCTTTTCCTGAGCGAGGTGGGTAGCGAGTCTTCCACTGTAGCGTCACACATCCCATTGGTGCTGACCCGTAAACTAGCATTTACTCCATTGGATAAAAAAGCAGGATATTTTTTCCTGTGGTTTGTTGACATATTCAAGGCTCTATTCATGTCAAATCCAATATTTGAACTAGATTTTTTTATTTTTATTTCTTTTGCATATGCAGCATAGTAACTGTTAGTGGCATACTCCTACTGTTGTGGCTCATAGAGAGCGCCAAAAATAAATAAATAAAAATATGTAGGGCTATCCCCAATGCCACTGAACATTTTGAGGGGTTGAAAGTGAACAACCCTTCACAAATGACTTAAGTCACACCTCAAGCACTGTCATGATTTGGACAAAGTACTGTGAACCTACTTCACATCAGGAACTGTATGAGGGAAACCCTTATGCGTGTTTGAGGTTGCAGCAGGCGCTAACGAATATAATGCATTGCAACGAGCGTTCCTGGCGCTACAGCAACACATGTGATACTGCCTAGCTGTCAGTCTTCATCCGTGGAGTGGACTCAAATGTGTGTGTTACGGAGGAACTTTTGGAATTAAAATCAATGCATGGCACCACCACAGGAAATAACATATTTGAAAAGGTTTCCACCGGTGTCACTGAAATGAAGCTGCCGTGGGATAAACTTGTGGGACTAACAGTTTCATTGTTATATCTGAAGGAAAAATTAAAATAAATATCAATGTTGGCCCGCGTGTTTGTCCAAGTTTTAAAGTTTGGCCCACTGTGTATTTGAGTTTGACACCCCTGATGAAGACAAAGCTCTTCGATGCAGTAAAATCAAGAGACTGACAAACACAACAGAGAATCTCATGGAATGTCTGACTATTGAAATACATATTAAAAAGGCAAATGTCATCATAAACTGCATGTATAGGACACCAGGATCATGACGACACATTCAGTAAAAAAACTAACAGATATGCTAAGTTACTCCAACGATAAGAACGCGAATAATGTGTGGTGACTTCAACATTGACTTAATACCCAAATGGACATTAAAAAAAAAAAAACTACTGACTTTATAAATACTATGTATAGCAGCAGTCTTTTCCCAGTCATCCTGAAACCGAGTAGAATAACAGTTGATCCTGTTAGGGTGGTTCTGTTTGTGACCAAAAGGTGGCACTGCAGGGCCCGTCCTGCAGTGGCAGACCTGTTGGTCATTGTGTCATTACTTCGTGTTGTGTTAAAAGGACTCCCTGCCCGACCAGTTGGTGTAGGATCATTGTTGCGATTGTGTGTGTCTCTGTGCATGTGTCATGTTTTGTTTTCTGTTTTTGGATTTGTTTGCTACTTTGTTTCCTGAGATTTTCTGGACTTTGAGTGAGTTTTTGAGTTAGTTTTTCCGATGTACTTCTGTATGCATTTTTCAATACATCTCCGTCAGCCACTCTGCTCCTCCCTGCCTCCCTGCTTTTTGGGGTCCTCCCAACAACGACCACCACGCAAAAGGTAACAGATACGGCCGGCCACATTAATAGATAACATAGTTATAAATTGACCATAAAATGGAAAGTGGACCTCTCATTTCTGAAAAAGTGACCATCTACCTATCTTTGCAGTTTTTCATAATTATTTTGATCCAAATACAAAGCTAACAGCTCACATATCAGAAATAAGACTGAACACAACGCTCCATCGCTGCCTTTCAGCTCGACCGAGAAAAACAAAACTGGTCCAAGGTCTACTCAAACAAAGACCCAAATACTGTGTATGATGCATTTCAGTCTACCATAATCTCCTTACATGAAAATCATTTTCCATTAACTAAAGTCTCCAGAAAGTACAGAGACTGAAGTCAGCCATGGATAACGAAATGTACAGAAAACGCTTGTAAAAAGAAAAATAATTTATATAAATCGTTGATAAAATTGAGAACTAAAGATGCTGAAATAAAGTATAAGACCGATAAAAATAAATGAGTAAATATAATAAGAAGTAGTAAGAGAGATCATTTCCATGCATTATGAGTGCAGAAAAAAAGCAACACACAAGAAATATAGAAAACTAAATCACGTAATCAGAAATCGTCCTTAAAAAGTAGATTACACAGAGTACTTCAAATAAATACCAAAATACTATGTTTGAGAAAACTGCAGAAATAGCAAATTAATTGAATGAGTATTTTCTTTATATCAGCAGTAACCAAGCAAAACAAGGTCCTGCTCCAATAAACTGTTTTGAAATAGAGACATGGAAAAAAAAAAACTCTTCCACAATGTTCTTTACTACTGTAAATCATGGAGTATTAAATAATGTGCAAACATTTAAAAAGAAAAAGTCAACTGATTGCTTTAATATTGATTGAACAATCGTAAAACCGATTACAGAGTTTGTAGTGCGACCTTTCACATGCATATGAAACCTGTCATTCAAAGCTGGCATCTTTCCATCAAAAATGAAAATTGCTGAAGTCATTCCAATTTTGAAAAGTGGAGAAAGACATTTGTTTCCAAATTACAGACCAACATCACTATTACCACAATCCCCAAAAATATTTGAAAAACAATTTTCATGCAGACTTGATAACTTCATACAGAAACGTGCTATTAAGTGAAAATCAAGATGGCTTCAGAGAAAAACGGACCACCTCAACAGTGATAATTTTACAGTTTGAGCTCTGCGAGTCCCAGGGACTCGCTGATCAGAAAAGTATGAGTCCCATTATGCTTTGAGTCCCAAATTTCGAATTCTGAAATGGTCTACTTATTCAATTGCATATGATTATAACACAAAACCCAACAATATATATTGATAATAGGTTTATTTCTTATAAACAAATGCTGCAAAAATTTAAATAATTCAGGCATACAAGATTTACTGAGAAATAGGTTCTGATTTCATCCCATGGTTCAGTCTTTGAGTTAATAAATTCTCCTCTCTTTACTCTGCTTCCAATGATGCAAGGCTTTCTCAAAGTCAACTTATCGCAAAAAACTATCCAACTTGAGCCGCTTCCTCTGTGACAGCTCCGCAATAAACTTTCGCAACACTTGTTTTAACGTTTCACAACTTGGCAATCGTCTGCTTTCCGCGAGGTGAAGGCCGATCACGCCAATCTCGTCTCGTGAGATTGCTTAACGCGAGATCAAAACAACAATGGCGGCGATTGTCAAACTGCGATCGTTGCAGGAAAAAAAAAGATGTACTGCAGCAGGCCTGAGGATTTCGGAAATTCACAGAAACCATTTTTCGGTTCCGTCGGATTACCCAAATGGGAAACCATGGTAACTAATTTTGGGTTCTGTAAACGTTCATCATGGCAACCCATTTTTCTATTTTGACTGATGTCAGAATCAAGAATTCTGATACTCAAAAGTACAATGTTTCAAGGGTAAATGTTTGAAAACTATGCATTAACAATAAAAATTACATCAGCAACTGTGTACTCCAGGTTTATTCAACAAAACAAATGGATCAAAATATGTTTTACTGATATGACATCATGAATACAGCGTACCACAAAATCAGAGTATTTTTTCCAGGCTCACACTGCAAAGATTAAGTTATTGGTAATTAATAAAAGTATTGATGTGGCTTGACATCCTCTTCCCAAGACGATGCATGTGTAATTACTCTCAATTTGACGAAAGAATCTACCACGTCATCGTTAGTTCCACCGACAGTTAACATTAGTATTACTACACTTGTGACGAATGTTTTATCCATAAAGTTGCCATGCTACAACCAGGAAATTATAGAATAACCAAGACTGTTTCATAATATTTTTCATTGTGATTAACCTATACTGTAGATCTAATGACCAACTTGCCTCGAAATCGTGCCTCCCATCGTATCTTGCTCTCGTGTCTTGTGCATACATCACAGCTGAGTTTAGTTATACGCCCGTCGGATGATTCATATAAAAAAATCTGACTGGCATTCCCATTTCTGAAATGTCGTAATTAGTATTCCTTTGTGTGTTTTTTTCGCCGCCATCTCAAACTGTCATCCGCGCGATTTGTCAGTTTGCGGACTAAAATACCAACGATAGGGAATTTAGAAATCAATGGGCCTCTTCACCATAGGGGCGTGACTAACCATCCCCACCCAGTCCTCAAATAGGCCACGCTCAGCTTTTTAGCGCAGAGCAATTTCCCGGAGTCTTCACGGAGACTTCAGAGTTGTCTACCGCTGACGAAGCTTCTTTGAGAGAAGCGAAACGTCCTTTTTTGTTTTTTTTGTTTTTTACCCACAGGTACAGATGACGACTGACGGAACCCTTTCTACTATACTGTAGATCTAATGACCAACTTGCCTCGGAATCGTGCCTCCCATCGTATCTTGCTCTCGTGTTCTGTGCATACATCACAGGTGAGTTTAGTTATACGCCCGTTGGATGATTCATATAAAAAAATCAGACTGGCATTCCCATTTCTTAAATGTCGTAATTAGTAGACCTTTGTGTGTTTTTTTCGCCGCCATCTCAAACTGTCATCCGCGCGATTTGTCAGTTTGCGGACTAAAATAGCAACTCGCATGCGCACATAATGTGATTTGTTCCGCCCCCCCCAACACTGAAAACAAAACAAAACGAAAGTAAATTAGAAAGAAACACACTCACACACCACAAACACACACACAGGCACAGTGAAATTGCGTTGATCACACAGGAGAGATTCGATCGCGTACAGTCAACTTGTGTGCGGTGACTTTTATGGGAAACCATTTTTCGGTACCATCAAAATGACGCCAAGGAAACGACATGCTACCAGTAGCGATCGTTACCGTGAAATCCTCAGGCCTGTCGTCGTTTTTTTTCGTTTTGACTGAGAAATTTCCTTGCATCCGAAAAACGCACATTATCTGGAACTGTGCGCCCCGCGGGAAAATTGTGCGTCTAGAACGCGGGACGCAGAGGTAACGAGAAGGCTGCCTCAATGGCAGTAATGGAGTTTGTGGACGCAATAGTCACTAATACAGACAACAAAGAATTTATTGGTGGGATTTTTCTCGATCGAAA